ATTTGTCATCGCTAGACATGTGCCACAGGGAGCGCAGCTGTCGAAGCAGCTGAGGATCAATCTGGTGCGGCGGAATTGGAGCATACTGAAATCCCTTCCGCGTGTCTGGAGGCTGGCCAGTGTCCTGGCCAAAATCGTCTAGGTAGTTGTACTTTTGAATCAGAAGGTGCTGCCAAATCTTCTTCATTGTGATACGATGATCGGGATTGACTTGGAGCATGCGATCGATGAGGTCCTCAGCTTCGGGGCTCAGGAACTCAGGCATGGTGTATTGCCCTTTTTTAGTCTTGTTCATCATGACACGCAAATCAGGATCATCAAAAGGCAGAGTTGCGGACAGCATGGCGTAGAGAATCACGCCCATGCTCCAGATATCAGCCTTATCTCCACGATATTGTCTATTCTTGAGAAGCTCGGGAGCCGCATAGTGTGGACTGCCACAAGCCGTTGCCAGTCGATGAGTATTTGACTGGTGAAGAGCCGCCATGCCAAAGTCGGCGATTTTTATCTGGAGATCGGCGGTGATCAAGATGTTTTCGGGCTTCAAGTCGCGGTGGCACACGTTGAAGGAGTGGCAATAGGCAATGGCACTGATCATCTGTCGAAAAAAGTAGACGGCCACTTCCTCGGACAGCCTTCCTTTTGTGTTGATAAAAGTAAAAAGATCGCCTTGGTCAATGTATTCAAGAATGAGATAACTGGCGGAATACAGGTCAGTGATTGCATCAAATCATGGGCAAGAGAAAGGCAACAAACATTTCAGAGCGATTCTCCCATATATCATAGAGCTTCATGATATTGGGATGTTCAATAAGCTTAAGGATGGCAACTTCGCGTTCAATCGACACGGGAACTCGCATTTCGCCATTGACCTCGGGGAGGCTCGAATCCCACTTGCTAAGAGCAGCCAGGCTGCTATCTTGAACAAGATACGCCATCCGACGGTTGACAATCTTGACAGCGGCGAGCTGCTTGGTGATGTTGTGGCGACAGAGCCGAACACGAGCTGACGAACCTTTTCCCAAAGTCTTTCCTAGTTGCCATGGTCCAATGTGCGTCTTGTAGTTCCTCCTGCTTTGACTGCTGGAGGTGGAGGCGTAGGATGCTTGGGAGAGACGCTTCGCAGCCTCTACAGATTGCTGCGGCTTCTGCACAGCAGGAGCATAGGCGTTGTAAGCCACTGCCTGGCCGCGTGAATCAGGCCGCATGTTCTGATGCGAATGGTAGCTATTGTTTTGAGTAGCACCAGATTGGCTGTATCGTGCCTTTTGGCTCTGGTGATTTTGAGCAGGCACAGGAACATTGAGGCGATTCGTGGTCTCGGCGAGAGGCGCACGAGTTTTTGGGGTGTATTCGACCATGGTGATCGCGGCGAGTTGCAGAAAAATTAGCACATAATATTCGAAATCAGCCTGCAGAAGAGTTGGTTGGGATACGACTGTGAAGCGGCAAGATGCTGATGATTGGTAGGAGAATTGAATTGGTAACTGACGAGGCCTAATGCAATATGCGTAAAGGGGAGAAAGACAACGGGATGCTGTAAAGAGATTGGATGAGGAAATCACGAGAAGGAATAATCCTGCAGAGAAGCATCGAGACTGGAGGGGGCAAAGTTTTGGCAGGCGACGTGCTTGGAGAAGGGGGCAAAAGGCAAAAAGGTCTGGTCGGTTACGAGGAGGGGAACATGGAAGGCATGCCAGCTGGTGAGACGCAGCTGTCCAGAGACAAGGAATGCAGCGTCGACCTCTGCCAGTGGCGGCCTTTCAGTGAGTGCAGAGCAGCTGGCGAGCAGCCACAGGGGAGACCACAGGGGAGAGGGAGCGGGCCAGCACTGGAATTTGGGTCAAAACAGGTGCGCATCATTCCTTGGTCGGGAGGTTAAGTCGAGTTGTTTGGTGGTGCGGTGCGCGTGTACTCGGCAGTCTAAGCGGAGGACTTGTCGCGATGCATTCCAAGTGTGGTTGGAATTCATCCCCACGAAGGTGCGATGTCACAATCACCCTACTATCTCAGATACGAGTCAAGGTAGATACTGAGACACGCAGACACACGACGCAGGTAATTCTTGTGTCCAATGACATTACAGGATTCTGAGGACTAACTGTAGAGTCTCGGCCTATCGCTTTGCGTGGGCACATTGACATTTGATATTGACGCAGATTGTAAGCCCCACCTTTGCGATGAAAGAACATAATTTGGCCAAACACGCTGCGAAGGATGCTTAGGCGCATACAAATAAATACCTACCTACATAAATACATTATGTCTATAATTAATCTCTTGTATTATTTGCCCAATTTTAAACTGACTGCGCATTACAATATTTGATGAAACAAAGTCCATGCTATTCCAAAGCCACCTCACAGCAAGCCTGAGCAGAACGCGAAAGGTTGGCAGATATCTAGAGGGAGTAACTGCACATGCTCTACGGCATTATCGCTGTCAGTAATATCTCCAACATAAATCTATTCTATCATATATCAATAACACGATCTAAAAGCATTGCAATTCTAATCCCAACAGCAAAAACAATGCATGCTGGAGCGACAAGTCGAATACACAGAGAAACAACATCCCAAGCAAGGGATGAGGTTGAAACATGAGTAAGCGTGCCCCACGCAAACGAACCACCAACACTTGGTCGAGGATCAGCCCCTCCTGTCCAAGATAGGAAAAATGCCAGTGCCGGTGCTAAAAGCCATCTCTCCACTCAACTCCCATGACCCTGGTCTTGAGCAGATCCTCCTTGAGAATCTTCTCTTTTTGCTGTTCCAGCTCTTCCATGTCCCATGTGGCCAACACAAACCGACCCATGAGGAAATTGGATCGATCCGTGCTCAGGTAGACGGCAGTGGCCCCGGACAGCTCTGCCTTGTCCGTCATCCTGCCGATGATGGCTTCAGGGACGACGGTGTTCTTGATGAGGTCGGTGAGGACGCCTCCAGGGTGCATAACCACGCAGCGAATATCGTTGCCCGCGGCTTGCTGCTCTCGATCAATGTATTCGGTAAATGTGTTCATTGCGACTTTGGAAGCAGCATAGGATGATCTTCCATAAACATAGCGCCACGATGCAATCGAGCCCACGTTGATGATTCTGGCCTTTGTCTTACCCGCCTCCTTGAGAGCGCCGAGATACGCCGTAGTAATCATGTACATGCCTCGGATATTGTTGTCAATGTCGCCCAGCCACCAATCAGGATTAGACTCGTCAATGGCAGCGGTGGATAGCGACACTGCCGCGCTGTGAACTAAGATATCGGGAACCTCTGGTAGGCTATCCATGAGATTTTTGACCGACACTTTATCCGCAACGTCGGTACCGCCTCGAGCAAGAACCTTGCAAGAGGGAGCAAGAAGTTCAATTGACGTCTTTGTCTCCTCTAGTGGTTCTGATCGTCGACCAGCGATAATGACAGAAGAAGCCCCAGCGATGGCGAACTGTTCAGCAATGGCCTTTCCTATGCCAGTACCAGCACCCGTGACCAGCACGAGCTTGCCCTGAGCAACCCCTTTGAGATTTGCCCGAGGGTCAATGAACGGATAGGCATCCGAGTGTCGTGGTCGTCCCACGGCGAAATCTTGAGGGTAGTCCATTGGATAGGGGGTGAGACGATTAGTCTCCGTGAATAGAACAAAGTAAACGACAAAAGAGACTTGAGAAAGGAAAGGAAAGAAGAGGGAATTAGAAGCGGGAATCCTTACATTATGGAGAAAATATGAGTCCCACGCGCAACTCCGAATGTCTCCATCAAGCACTTTAGCGCTGACAATGTCATATATCATTCTCAAAACGAAGCTACCATGATTGCATGATGAGTTTCCATGACCGGTGTTGTCATATAAGTGCTTATTCCGGTACCGGAACATATCCAGTACAGCACAGCTGTCATAGGGATAAGCGTAATTGGTTTAGTGGTAAAATTCTCCGTTGCCATCCGCAACGTCGGGGAGCCCTGGGTTCGATTCCCAGATTACGCATCAATTCTCTTTTTGCCCCTTTGGCATTGTGTCTATTTGTTTTGTGCATCACACCTTTGAAACGCCACAAACAGACAGGTGTGGGCATATGTTGGCTTTTTTTTGTGTTAAGGTGGTATGTGCTTTGTTTGGCAGTTGGTACCATCATAGCGCGCAGCGGATATTAAGCTCCAGGGCTATCAAAGCTTGTCCATCAGATATAGTTCCCCCACGTTTTGCAATTATGAATACGCCAATATCTTTTTAGTTGAAAAAATAGGTAGAGATAGCGACGATAATTACCCTCTCGCTTTATAAAATTCTCCAGGCCTATGGCATCGTCATCCATCGTTGTATACCCAATAAATGCTCGAGCGAACTTATCCGTACACAGCTTCTCATAGTGTTGCACAGGTAATTCATCTGCCAGTTCCGATGCTTAGGACACCGCGTAGTACATGTGAAGCATGTGTGCTGATGGTCTTGTATTGAGGTAAGGAGTACACTAGTTCCATGGCACGCCTGTTGACGCGGAGAAAGTTCGTGAGAGTGCGCAGATCCAGTCCATGTAGAATGACCTGCAGGAGCTCGGGAGGTAGAGTGTCGAGGATACCAACACTGCATGTGGGCGGTAGGCGCGGGCATTCTATGTCGGGCGGAGAGCTGGGAGTGGGGAGGCTACCGTCGAGAGTATGATCGTTGAGATCAAGAAGATCAAGACGGGGTTACGTTGAATCTTGTAGTCGGCGGACTGTTGTTTGCTCGTCCATTATGAGGGCGCGGGAAAAAATACAAAGGTGCTCCTCACTCCAGGTCGTGGAGAGTAGAAAGATGCTCGCAAGGAAACAAGGTGAAAGTTGGCGAAGAAAACGACAAAGCGCGACAAATCCGTATTTGAACAACTATTCATGACTCCATAAAGCTTAAAGCGACCTAGTATTAATTGCCGTTCATTTCCTTCAAAGTCAAGTGTTGAAGAGAACTACCTGTACGGTTATGTCATCCCGTACACGCCGGGAGGATGGAGGACTAAAGGCCAATCATCCTGCTATCAACTCATGATGGTTTCCACCGAGGGCATTGCGCACCAGGTGCACAGCGACGTTGTCATCTTGAATCGTTGTTCTCCCCTCTACAAACTTCCAGCTCACTCCTTGCCAGAACTGGCCAAAGTCAAACGGCCCATATGTCGGCTCTGGCAGTATGTTGCTTCTCTTCCCAGCTGTAGGCGATTCCACCCATTTCCCCACCAGGTCGTGCTGGTTGGAGAGGGTATACCACAAGCCGTCCGATGCCAAGATTAAGAAGGAGGGTTTGCTGGGGTCGATCTTAGTAGTTGTTACTACCGGCTCAGCTGTCAGGTATGGTGGTGTTTGGAAGTCTTCCGTTGGCGTTAGAGGTGCTGTACCATAGAACCTCTGCACAAAGTTCTGTTGTAATTCCAAGGGCCACTTCCACCGAGCATCGCCAAAGGCCCGCGATACCATCATTCCGAGCACCCGCCCACCTTTGATTATGTTGTCTTCGCCAGGGTGCTCCTTGCTAAGCCTGGCCACCTCTTCTTGATTGTCGCCTGTTTGATCCACTGATAGGGGTATTGCTTCCCATTTGTCATTACTCTTCTGGCCAAGCACTGCTCTCGAATCGCCAGTACACGCCACATGCAAATTACTTGTGACGGGATCGTAGACGGACAGCAGCGCGCAGGAGCCAGCATAGGCGACAGCTAATTTCTTCAGCTTATCTTGTAGCGGTTCTTCGCTTTGCGATGCATCCGCGGCCGTCTTGATGATGGAATCGTCGAGGTTCACAAATGCCTTTTGGATAGCATGTTGAATCGCCTCGTCGGGCACGGGTTTCGAAGCTGTTGGGATGACCTGGCTTAAGCTGCGCCGCACAAAGAGCAGGAGTTGCTTCGTTAGCAAGTCTGCCGTCTGCCAGCCTGCATGCCCGTCAAAAATACCTCAGGCCATCCACTGCTTGCCGTCATTCCATGGCGAAGGGAATTTCCCGTGGGTGAACCGGTCCTCGCATGGGCCATTGGAAGCCAACTGGGTGCCGTCGTATCTGCTGACGCCGGCCACGCTTCTGACCTGGAAGAAATATGCTGCTTGCGATATGATGCGTGTGACATCGTCTTTGGAGGGGCCGGGCTCAACAACCAAGTGCTCCGCTGGCGGACTCTGAAGACGAGGCACCTGGTCGCGAGTGGAAGACGCCAGTAGCCACCAGAGATATGGTGTGCTGACTGCTGCACTGGTAATCACAATGTATCTCGTCGCCTTGCTGAAAGTCGAGGCCGAAGAGGAACTCTTTGCTGAGGAGAAGCCCCTTGCCTGCGCCTGCAAGATTGGCCGGGGGCCAATGGATTTGCGACCCAGACGCGTCCGAATCACTCGCAATGGCAACATCTTTGTTGTTAGAATACGCCTAAGAGGGCCAAAGTCATGGGGTTAGCCATGCCATGAGCATAGTATCTCCTGTTCCTAAGTGCAGGCATACCTTGGATATTCATCTCAGTCCCACAACACTCCACGAAGATAGCCTTGTTGGTTAGATGAGAAGTGCATCCAAGCTTTCCTCGCGTTTCCTTAGGTGTTAGGTAGTGATAGCTTATGCGGCAACATCTGAAACCTATTAGATTCGCACATGTATTTTAAGAAATCGGCGCAAGTTAACAGGCATGGCTGAGGCTCTGGTTCCAACATTACGCAAGGTACATATCCCATGAAATCTTTGTATTCCACACACATTCGTCAATTCAAAAAGTAGTTGCCTTGATAGATTAGAGCTGGTTTGTGTCTTGGAGAGCAAATCTAACAGCCAAAGGTGCAGTGCTTTGCTGGTACCTTGGCGGAAGAGAGACGCTAAAGAGCTGGCGTTAAGTGGTGGTGGGGTCAAAGACGCGTCCAACCGCGTCGCAAGAAACTCACGGCTGCCTTCTCACCACCAACTTGCATGCAAATAGCAGCACCAGCCGTTTTCACGATAACCTCACGCGGCCGGTCAGCTCCGACGCAGCTCATCAGCAGACATGAGTTCCAGCACCTCACGTCGGCGGCGGCGTGTGGACGATGATGAGGACGACGATGACAGCAGCACTGAAGGCCACGGTTCGCCTTCTGGAGACGAGAGCTCCAAACGACGACGATTGGACTCCGATGACAACGAACAGCCACGGCGAAGCACTGGTCAGCCAGATAATGGCAAGGGAAAGGCCAGGGACGGCGGCAAGGACAGCTTTCAACCAGGCGCCATCGTTAGAGTCGCTGTAGAGAACTTTGTCACCTACGAAAAGGCCGTCTTCTTCCCTGGCCCGAATCTCAACATGGTCATCGGTCCCAACGGCACGGGGAAGAGCTCTTTGGTCTGCGCCATCTGCCTGGGGCTTGGATATAGCCCCAAGCACCTTGGCCGCGCAGGGACAGTCAAGGAATTTGTCAAGCATGGCAAGGACACGGCAACCATCGAGATCGAGCTTTACAAACGGCCCCAAGACCGATCCAACTATGTTATCCGAGTTCAGATTCGCCGTGAACAAAACATCCAAAAATGGTGGCTGAATGGCAAGGAGACGACACACAAGAGGATACAGTCGCTGATGCACGCGCTCAAGATCCAGGTGGACAACCTGTGCCAATTTCTTCCACAGGACAGAGTCGTCGAATTTGCCGCCTGTACCCCGGTGGAATTACTAGGCGAAACTCTGCGAGCCGCTGCTTCCGAGGAAATGCAAACGTGGCATCGACAGCTTCGAGAACTTCATAGGGACAAGAAGGGACTAGTCGAGGCCGTGCACGAGGACACCGAAACCCTGAAGAATCTACAAACTCGCCAACAAGGCTTGCAGGCCGACGTGGATAGAATACGCGAACGAGAGGAAATTCAGGAGCGAGTAAGCAATCTCAAAGGCGCTCTTTCTATCGCCCAATATCAAGAAGCACGCAATAGCCACCTAGCGGCAAAGGAGCGTAAGAAAGAGGCCGAGAACAGACTGAGGCGTCTTGAAAGCGAGAGCGGGCCATCTTTGGAAGCAGTCAACCGGAAGCAGGTCTACGCTCAAGAGACTGAGGCCGCCATTCCGTCAAGGGCAAAGGCCGTTAGGGACACCCAGGTAGCGGCGCAGAGTCTGGCACAAGAAATCAGTGCTGCAGTTGACGACGTCAAAGAGTGGTCGAATAAGATAGGTGCAGAGCGCAAGGGGTTTGATGAGAAAAAGAAAGAGGTTTCAACATCAAAGCAGAGGATCACAAATCTACAGGGAGACTTGAAAAACCGGCCTTCTGACTTCAATGCAGGAGAATGGAATCAAAAGATTGTAAGAGCTTTCTCGTCTTGTCATACCTTTTATAACTTGACTTTCCTTCTCCCGTTCTTAGAACTAACAATTCTGGTTTCTCTCATAGCGAGCCGAGGAGCATAACCTGCGCGAAGTTGAAGCAGATCAGCGTCGACTAGTCGCTGAGACAGAGAGAGTCAAAGGACTTGGAAGGGCGAAGATGGATGAGCTGCAGAAACTCAAGGCAGACTTGGAGTCTCTTGACACACAGGAGGGCCAACAGCTAAGCTTCATGCGGAGACACTTCCCGGAACTGGTTACGGCCTGGGATTGGGTTCAAGAACATCAGGGTGAATTCGAAAAGGAGGTTTTCGGTCCACCCATGCTGTGTTGCTCAGTTAGAGACGAGCGCTACTCCAACTCAGTCCAAGCCTTGCTGCAAAACGACGACTTCCTTTGCTTCACAGCACAGACCAAAAACGACTACAAGAAGCTGACCAACCAGTTGTACCGCGAGATGAGTTTATCTGCCGTTATCAGAACCTGTTTGCAGCCTCTCGCTGCTTTCAGGTCTCCTGTCAATATTGATGAAGCTCAATCGCTGGGTCTGGATGGCTTCGCGCTCAACTATTTGGACGGCCCTGAGCCTGTTCTTGCCATGCTATGTGCTGAAAAGAGATTGCATCAGTCCGGCATCTCGTTGAGAGAGCATACTGATGACGAATATGAGAAACTTGTCCATAACGGCAAAATCAACCAATGGGCAGCCGGAAAGCAGCAGTACATAGTTCGTCGACGAAAAGAGTATGGTCCTAACGCAATGACAACCGTTGCCAAGAGGATCCAGCCGGGAAGATTCTGGACATCTCAGCCTGTAGATTCACAAGAGAAGGTGGAGCTCAACAGGCGACTAACAGAGGTCAGCGGCGAAGCAGAAGTCTTGAAGTCAGAATATAAGGAGCTGAGAGCAAAGAGTGGCCCTCTTGAACAACAAAAAGCCGACATACAGGGTAAAATTGTAAGTCAGCCCACATTTTTAGACTAGATATGAGAACTGCCATGTTAACGTCAGACAAGGAACAACTGAGAACGGAGAAAAACGCGTTGCAGCGAGAGTTCACCAAGTGGCAGTTGATACCACAAAAGATAGGTTCGCAATCCCACGAACCAGCCTACAATGTTGTTCTGTGACCTGCTAACCAAATCAGAATCCGAGGAGCGCCATAGAGAGGCAAACGAGCAGGCCATGAGAGAGGCCCGAGAAAGAATCATCGACCTCGGCTTTGGATGGGACAAGGCAGTGGTAGAAAGAGCCAAACTCGTTCTTCGCCATCAAGAGGCCCTCGGTCACGTTGCAAAGGCCCACGATGATCTCATTGAGGCCAAGATACGACTCATTGAGGCCAAGTCCGACATTGAGGGTCTCAAAGCCCGCAATTCTAGTATAATGGAGAGGCTTGAAGAAGAGCGACTCGTCGTGCAGCAAGCTACCGAAGAAGCTACCCAGGCCAGAGATCTAGGTCGCGGACTGCTTGACAGGGTTCGGGACCTCATCAACGACAACCCCGACAAGAAGGATCTATACAGCTCCTTGGCTGAAAACAGATCACCAGCAGATATAGAGATGGATATCTCTGCTGAGCAGGCGAACCTCGAGCTCATTCACGCAGCCAACCCCAACGTCATTCGGGAGTTTGAGAGGCGTGAGCAGGAGATTGCTAAACTACAGAAGAAGATGGGTACACTAAGTGGCAAACTTGCCGACTTGACTGGACAACTAGATGACCTCATGGGCAAGTGGGAGCCCAAGCTGGATGCCTTGGTGTCCAAGATCAACGATGCGTTTGCCTACAACTTTGAGCAGATAAGCTGTGCTGGCGAGGTTCGTGTCCACAAGAACGAGGACTTTGACCAGTGGGCTTTGGACATTATGGTCAGATTCCGGTACGTCTCCTTCTCCTCTTCTCCCACCTTTTTGCCGCCTCCTTCATACCCGAGAGCAAAGGGCTAACCACGAGAATGTATAGTGAAAACGAATCTCTGCAGCAGCTTAATGCTCATCGCCAATCCGGCGGCGAGCGCGCCGTCTCCACAATCTTCTTCCTCATGGCCCTCCAGTCCATGGCACAGTCCCCCTTCCGCGTCGTCGACGAAATCAACCAGGGAATGGACCCCCGCAACGAGCGCATGGTCCACGAGCGCATGGTGGAGATTGCCTGCCGCGAACACACCAGCCAGTACTTCCTCATCACGCCGAAGCTGCTCACGAATCTGCGGTATGATCCCAAGATGAGGGTGCTCTGCATTGCTAGCGGGGAACACATGCCCAAGGATGGGACGAAGCTTGATTTTGGGAAGTGTTTGAGGATTCAGAAGACGCTTATGGCGGCTGCGGCGTAGGCATTGTGAACCATTCATTGCTTCGTCGTTTTTAACTATTTGGATGGGTTTTTTGCTTTGCTTTGTTTGGCCTGATTTTGGGCGGCAGGGCGTTTGGCGGATTTATATACTCGTAGAATTTACCTGTATAGGGCATATGAAAGGATTGAGTCCCAGCAGCGTTGCATGCATGGGGTTGAAAGCCTTCATCTCAAGCTCGAGTCTTCTCCGGCTTTCTTCACACATATATATCTATCACATCAAGATACCAAATGGAAAACAGTATAATGTGGTTTTAAAAAGAACCAGGCAATTCATCTCTCATCATTTAGTAAAACTAATAAATAAGCCAAACCATGCAAAAAAAAATCACACGAAAAATAACAAACAAAGTGTGTTAAGGCATAAAATCCCCCTTTTTGCATGATTCTTTTTTAAGTGTCCACCTTGAGCGGTACCCCCGACAATAGAAAAAAAGAGGAAATAGGAGGCAGCGATGAAAGGGCAAAAAAGAAAAAAAAAGATCACGCGTATACTTCCACAATTATTGTACAAACCAAAGTGTAAAAGGCGTCTTTGTGTCCCCCCCTTATATTCTTCCCACGTCGACGCAAGTGTGTGTGTAAAAAAAATCAGACAAATAAAAGCAGAAGACAGAGAGAGAGAAAAGCAAAAAAAAAAAGAGTTGATAATAATAATAACCGAAGAAGAAAGAATATGGCGTTCAAAAAACAACGAAAAGATTCACATCCC